AAAGTTGGAACTGCGGAGTTCCTACTGTTTCGGCCACCATTCAATGGCTCCGAACCACCTGGGAAAACTCAGGGAGAAGAGTTAAGTGATGGAAGAACTTAAAGGGCCGAATTACCTGGCGAAGATTATCCGGGAAGTGGATAATGCAAGGAGTGTGGTCTGAGAGCCCCGGAGCTGCGAATTCAGCGAAAGAGGATGGATACTTCAGTTTCCATGTCGAATTGGATAAGGCTCTGTCTAACTTGATGGACAAAGGTTCCTCCGAGTGGTTATTACACCATGTATAAGAGGCTCCTCTGGCTGGCAATTCCGTTAGGTCAGCGTCATTGAGGCAGTTCCTAAGCTCCTCCATGCCCGGGAGAAGGTGAGGTTGGGTCTGATGATCCGATCGCTCAAGGGGAGATAGACTTTGGTTGAAGTCTCCCATAACCATCCAAGGAGTTTGGGTAATGGGTTGGTATTGGCTAAGCCCCCGGAGTTCTTCCCACAGAGTTCTCTGCTCGATGAGCGAGGTTGATGCATATACAAAAGTCACCGTAAAGCTGAGGTTTGGATTGCACACGACAACTCCACACGTCACACTCTGCTTAGTTGCTTTATAAATGGTCACCTTGACCGATTCCTCCCACACAATCCATATCCTAGTTGTGTCGTGATCTACGAATCGACAATGATTCCTCCATCCCAATGGTATAGCATTTACTATCCTCTCTGAGTTTCTCTCATGGATATGAGTTTCCAGAAAAGCACCAAAATTCAACTTATTTTCCGAAATCCACTTGCGTGTCAAAAACCGCTTATTTGGGGCATTTAAACCCCTTACATTCCAGGCAAAAATCATGGTAGTCTTTTTTGGGGCTAATTGCCCCTCGTGGCCTTATGACCACGACCTCTAGTTCTCACTTCCGTAAACCCTTGCTGATCTATCTTCCCTTTGGTCTGCGCTTTGGAATCCTTGTTGATTTTCTGATGCGAAGGGGTTATGAGGGAGATCTGGGTAGTACTCAGGGCAGAAGGCACGTGGTTGGGTGGAGGTGTGGTGTGGGAGAGAATGGCCTTCCCCGGTTCGGCTCTTTTCGGGGTGTCTAGATCCTTCCCTGACTCTTGCTTTTGATTCTCTAGGGCTGACGGTGGCGCAGAGAAGGCTGGGGTAATCTCAACTGGAGGTTCAGAGGTTTTTGTGGGTAGTGGGGCATGGTCGATTGTCGGGTCAGGATCAGTCGGGGCTGGTTTCGACTCGTAGGGAATCAATGGGCAGTGAGACTTGTTGTGGCCCAACTCTGAGCAATGATCACAACGAGGCAGCAACCAATCGTAGGAGATGTCTATGAGATGTTCATGCCCAACCGGTAAGGTAACCATGATATTTCTTGGAGGGTGACATCTCAGGTTAACATCTATGAAGATTCGAGCCACCGTCATATTTTCTTTGGCGGAGGTCTGCCTGTCGAGGTAGAGGGGGTTCCCTATTGTAGTAGCTATCCTACTAAGACTGTCGGTGTTGAATAGCTGATGCGGTAAGTTCCGGAATGATACCCATGTCGGAATAGAAGTAAGCTCAGGCTTGGCAGCTAACTTATACGGGTTCCATTCGGAGATAAACATTGGTCGAGAACCCACATGCCAGAATCTCTTACTAAGAGCTAGATCCCTAATACGTTGGTTGGGCATTTTGAAGAGGAAAGTACCATTTCCCACATCCTGAACCCTAATCCTGGGCCCGTTCCTTGACCACATACCATTCGATACACCAACTATTCTACCCATCGGCGGCGGCAGACCGTAAAACTGTCCCACTACAAATTCAGTCCACTCATCCACAGAGGCTTCCAATGACTCAACCGGGATATGGACCAGAGGAATTCCACTCTTATGAGTAGATGGAGTACCTATACGTTGCAGAATCTTTGGAGGACTGGAGACCCTCTTGCTCCACGAGTCAGAGCCTGCCGATGGCAGAGCAGCTGGCGGTTGAGTTCTGTGGAGAGCTGATTTCCCGGGCTGGAGAGGAGCTTCGCCGGCAACCGCCGCGAATGTGGGAGTCGATGTGACAGATTTGGGCCATGGGAGGTTTTGCAAAACAGAGGCGACGCCAGCCTCGACCTCACCGAGGGTAGCTGGGGAACCAATCCGAGCAGCAGTCTTGGGTGTAGGAACAGATGAAATCTCCCCAACCCTAGTAACGGTGGGAAGAATCGAGGAAGGACTGCCGCCAGGAGAGCTTAAAGGGGGGAAAGCAACGTCGTACGCGGCTTGGTCTTGACGGGGTGAACTAGAGGCAGCTGGTACCGGCAGAGGAGGAGAGTTCCCGCCGGACATTGACGAACCGAGCAGAGAGACGGAATCTGTCAGAGGAGGAGGAGAGTTCCGACCAGATTTCGACAGATCTGACTGGGAAACGGTGGCTGACGGAGGAGGAGGCGAGATCCGGCCAGTCTTCGCCGGAATCGGCTGAGAGGCGGCTGGCCGCGAAGGAGGAGGAGGTGGGAGAGAGACCTCCGGAGAAAGGGGACCCGACCCCAAGATTCCGGGGGAGGGTGGAGCGGAAGAAGATCGAAGACGCGGTGGCATGGGGGTTTCTTTGGTGACCGGCCGGTGACCGGCCGGTGAGACACAGGGGGATTGTGCGGCGATAGGTTTAGAGAGAGAGAGTCGAAGACACCACTGCATATATATTATTGGACTGATGGACGGTTTTTCACAAGATTTATTAGTAATTTACTGTATGTAATCCGAATATATATA